GCTGGATGGCGGCACTTGTATATGACGAATAGATGATTAAAAGATGTGAGATGGCTGTACTTAGAGTGTTCACTGTAGACGGACGGACGGATGAACATACAGAGAGAGAGACGGATGTACTTACGGATGCACAGACAGAGTAGCGGACGCACGCACGAATGCATGGATGGACAGACAGATTGATAGAGGCACGGCCGCACGAACAGACGCACGGACAGACGTATGGACTGACGGAAGAACGGACGTACGGTGGACGCATAGAAGGACGGATGCACCGATGGTCACAGAGATGGACGGCCACGCGGACGGACGCACGGAAGGACAGAAGCAAGAATGAATGCGCGCACGAAAGCATGGACGGACTGACGAACGCTTCACCCCACTAATCATCATTCACTCCGTGGATATGCTGTGATTTTTTTTAGATGCGGAGCATCTAATACTCGAGGCTTGTAGTGCGGCGCCGTCCGCAAGCTTCCTCCTCCTTCTTCCACCATCTGTGCATCCCTTCCTCCTCTACACACCACGCGCGCTTCACTCCTCCACCATCTGTGCACCCTTCCTCCTCTACACACCGCGTGCGCTTCTCCTCTTCACGAACATTCGCTAGCTGTATAATGTAGCGCGCATGCGCCGTCACGCTTCGAGAACATCGGCAGCTGACGCGCGCGCATGCGCCGTCGCGCTTCGAGAACATCGGCAGCTGACGCGCGCGCATGCGCCGTTGCGCTTCTCCACCTTCTCGAACATTCGACAGATGACAGTGCATGCGCCGTCGCGCTGTATATATACTCAAGGTCGGTGCTCGCTCGCTCAGTTGCCGCTCGTCGGTTGGTTTGTACGGCGCGTCGACGTCCGAGGTCGCAACGATCGACGTCCCTTCGACCAGCGCCGGCCAAAGTGTTGGCGGAACCGCAACCAAGTCGTCGTCCGAGGACAAGGCAGCGCGGAGAAGAGCTCGCGACGCCGAACGTAAACGTCGGCGTCGAGCGGAAGATGCTCAGCTTAGAAAACATGAAGCCGCTGAGAGACGTCAGCGTCGAGCAGCAGCACCGGATTCGGCCGCTTTGAAACGTAAGCGTCGACAAGAGGACCCGGACTTTCGAAAACGGGAAGCCGAGTGCAAGCGTCGGCGACGAGAGGCCGATCCCGATGCTGCCCGCGAGCAAATAAACACCGCCCTTTCGCATACGTGTCGTACGTGTTCACTCATTTAACACCCCTCCTACAACCACGTTAACCAATTTAGCCAGCGACCCAAGTAAGTCGCAATTTAACACCCCATTTCACAGCCACGTTAACCAATTTAGCCATCGACCCAAGTAAGCCGCACTTTAACACCCCGTTAACCAATTATATGCTCCGCATCCTCCTCAGTGTTCCCCCAAGGGAAGCTGCGGGCAATTTTTTTTTGAATGGCAGTTCCAAGGCAGATCTCCAACATTTGCGCATGCGTTGCTGATAGCCACAACCGCCGTTACGACACGGGATCGTTCGTTCGCGGGTTATCGGATATATATGCGCGTGGCGTACTGCGGAGTAACGAAATCAAAGAAATAATGCACAAAAAACTCCCAAGCATTTCCCCGAGGGTGAACATGGTTAAGTGCGAAATACACGGGGTGATGCTATGAGGGGTATTTATTAATTCGCGCTATTATATTTATTAATCACACTATGGTGCCTTTATGTTGTAATGGTTCCTGGAAATCGCAATTTGATCACACGGGGGAGTTTACGTCAACTCACTGGCGAATGCCAACGGATTTTAACTTTACTCCCCCTCACGACCCGCTCTCGACGGGAGACTGAGAGAGAAGGCGGGCGCGCGAGAGAGAGGGGTGCGCGCGCAGCTGCAGCGAGCGAGGAGAGCGGAGGAGCGAGTGAAGGGGGAGGGGTTAAAAGACGCGTTACTGACACCGATATAAGCGTCGCGTCCGTGGCTTATTCGGTAGAGCGTTGCGCTGCGGCCCGCCAAGTCCTCTTTCTTTTAAAGATAGAGAGAAGACTGCGGACGCCGCCGACGGCGGTGGATGGTTTGGGGTCGCTTATAAAGTGTATTCACACTTAAAACAAAATCGACAGATCGTCCGTGTGGCGCATGATTGCTGGACTCGGAACGTTCCATACGCGCTTGAACCGCCGAACTGTATTAGTCCGAATTACTTCCATGCGGTCGCTTTTGCGCGTAAACATTTCGTTCTCAAAGTGCAACCCAATTTTCGGCAAAACTTGCATTAATGTGATGAAGCTGAGCAAATAATGAAGCTAGTTATATTAGTAGTCGTTGATTTATTTCTTGTCACACTCTCTTTCTTGAATCAGTGGCCATACCAAACTACGTACTGTTTCTTTGACTCGCCCCTTTGGTCCACCCCCTCGCCTCTCAACGTGAGCCCTGCGCACACCTATGGCCTCAATCATGCTCAGTGCTAAATCCCCCCCCCCCCCCCCCTGTGAAATGTACAAGCCGCCGTGGCGTCACAGGGGCTACGGTGTTCGGTTGCTCACCAGAAATGCAAGGGTTTGATCACGGGCGCCACGGTCACATTTCGAAGAAGGCCGTGATTTTCCACGGCGCCTTTCACATAGTCTGAGGCACCTTGGGATGCTAAATACTATTTACCAATTAGCAAACCGCCGATGTATAAAGAGCTTCGAATACCAAACCATCCAAGCATCTGCAAAGTAGAAATAAATTTTAGTTGGCCATTACAAAAAAATTCGGTGCCCTTAAAAATGCCGAACCGTTCAATAACATGTAAAAGCAATGATGCTTTTGTCTTGCTCAGACGCTCCTGTTGTGAGCGTGATAGCAGAAATACTTGTCAAAGTGGACGAAATGAGAAACGTGACACACACAGGTGCCAAGTGAAAAGACGCCGAAATTCGCAAACAGCACCGGTGATGAACCCGATGGCTGCTGTCTGATCCCGGGGAACAAGTAGAAAGGGGCACGACGTAGTCGAAATGAAGCTTAGTAAGGTAAGCTATATCATTTTAGATCTCATCCGTTCATTTTTCCCCCGAGTTTGAGCGTTGCTAGCCATGTTACTGCATGTGTTGAACTTTTTATTGCGAGCGTGATCACAGCACACGAAATGAGTGGACGACGATCCGGGCCCTCAAAATTTGTTCTCCTCACTCGAAACAGCCGGAGAAACGAGGCCCTGGTATCGACGCGTATGATCTATATGACGGATGGCACATTTAAGAAAACTCCGCCTTCTCAGAAACAAAATTCTTAACTTGCGTTCTTATGATCACGTGATGGTCCTTTCGTTGTTATTGGGCTGTTCTCCATGCGCTGGAAAACACATGCACACCATATTGATTCAGTTAGAAAACAGTGTTCTGTATGGCACTGCCGCAATAAATAAATAAATAAATAAATAAATAAATAAATAAATAAATAAATAAATAAATAAATAAATAAATAAATAAATAGACGCAGGAAATGATGAACGAAACAAAAACACAAAAGAAAGAAAAGCGGTAGACTAGGTACTCCCATACGAAGCTTTCCTAGGTTTAACTATTTGTGGGTGAATTATTGCCCAAGAAGTCGTGGCCTCCGTGATTAGTTCTGGCAGCACGCCTTTTACAAATGTATTTCTCTTGATTTTCCATACAATCCTAGCAAAATGACTTAAGGATACATATTTTATCGTAATGGTAAGTCTAGCTGCCCCCTATGCAAATCATGCACTTTTTCAGATTTCAAAAAAATTATTGAATTTTCAGTAAATCAATTGGGAGTGCACTTCCGACGTACATTTTGCATTGCTCGATGTTCTTAAGTTACATTTAACAAATTCACTTGTGGGTTTGAAAGGCGTAGGCTGGGCGGGCTAGCTGGTAAGACATATTACCTAAGTTTAAGCTACGCTCACGATGGCACACCAGACTAGCATTTCTGACCAAACATGGAAGCCTATAAATGTTGAAAATCTTGCATTTTTATAGGTTCAAGCACTTCATTCTGATTTAATAAAATTGATTATGGATGCATTTTAATTTGCCTTTGGAAATCTTTTATTCACCGAGGCAGTAAAGTTTCATCATACTTTAATGAAATCTTCAGGGCCCATTTTTGACAAAAATGGCAAGCTTTTGGAAATCTTGCATTTCTCGAGAATTTCTAGTTTCGTCCAATTCCGATAGCAGTACTATGTAAATTTTTTGAAGTTTTTAACTTTCATTCAATTGTAATAAAATAATTGGAGACACATCCTTAAAGAAAAAGGTAAGCTTATAGACTTTCAAAATCTTTCATGTTCTCAGGATCTACAATAACTTTTCTCCAATTTTGATATCGATTGTGGGCACCTTCTCGAAGTTGAGGGTTAGCCCTCGGAAATCTGATCTTGAATGCAGCGGCCGAAATGGCTCGTCTAGGCGTTGGCCTTGATCACGTTTGTATCAGCATGCATTCCCTTGCCCACTAGGAAACTCCATTTTCTGTTTGTTTATTGCTGCTTGTCTGTCGCATAAGGGTTGACCTTTGTTACCAGCTTTTTCCCGCCTATAGTCAAGGCGCGTCAACCAAGACAGCTCTGTAATGGCCCGAATATACAGGGCGTCCCATATATTACGCAGTATGGTGTTGAAAAAAGGAGCGTAGTTAAGCAAAGTATTCATATACAGTGTATATGTTCTCCAGTATTCTGTAGTAGCCACTACTATTTTATTTACTCTAACGAGGTTTAGTTAATTAGGCCAAGTAATATTTTCGACTTGACACGTACACACACATAATCAACAATTTGTCATTGATACTATTCAGGCAGGCAACGTACTATAATTATGAGATGATAAGTATAATGAGGAAGTCATTACTAATTTCTGCATGTTAACTATCGTTCTTAAAGTTCGGATACGATAAACCTCCGCAAATGCTAAAAAATGTTCCCGCGATGCGTAGGCGTGCTTTTTTCTGTAGTAAGAAGAGTTTGTGCAGCGTCGCCCGCAAATATATAATGCGGGTCCGTTCCCGCAGGTTAGATCGCTGCCTGCACAGGTTGGGCCTCGAGGTTTTTCCAGGCGTCGGTGGGTTTGGAGGCATCCTCCGCTCCCGAGATGTCGCTCTCCGAGAGGCCGGAATCTTCAGGCTGGAACGAATCGGCAAAAATAATGAAAAAAAACACAATAGACACCTACGATTGCTATACTGCCTGACGGGAATTCTAAGCTCAACCTTTTGTTAGGGAAATGCACACTGTCTTTGAACTTCTTACTTACCGCAAGATATTTACTACGCTTTAAATCGTACTTTTTGTTACGCTAGACTATTGAGTAGCTAGACAGCACCTACAAAGCCATTACACTTCCGTCTGGGGATAAGGAAAGGACTCGCCACACACCTGTAAAGTATTATGTGCACTTTTTAATGTTGCATATGTGGCTGATGAGGATGAAGAATTATGGCTGAACGATTTACAGTGGGCGGGAAGCAGTGAACCCATATACGCGTGCGCACGTAGGGGGTGAAATGCGTGTGAAGCCTGCCAAATACATTGATTTATTTGAGAGGGGGGGGGGGGGTTGCTACAATGAGGCTTCCCCCCGCCCCCTGGATGGGGACCCTGAACAGCCTATTTTAAACCACACATTGATCGAGCAATTAGCATTGTGCAATGACTGGTTGTTCATTTACTCTTCTGCCACGCTACATTACATAGGCCAACTCAACTCCTTGCACATGACGCCTGATAGCGTTTTTCGGGAATGAGTTTCCAACACCAGGGCAACTCTGTGCCAGAATACTCGGCTATCACGCATAGAAAGTGGGCTCCAATCCAATTCGATCCTGGGTATATTTTGTCATTTTATTTTTATTTTCACAACCGTCTGTTACACCGTTAAAAGCAACAGTGACGGCTACGACCCTCTTACGTGTATGCAGGAACGGGTGCGCTGTACACACAATAAGGAGCTTTAGAATACCGTTTTCAAGCGCTGCGGTCGTTGCGGGCGTAGCGGGCGCCATATGAGTTTTAGAATAGCGTTTGCCCTGCTGCAAACCACAACGCACTGTTGCAGTGACACCGTATCCTCGAAACCAGCGCTTGCGGGCCCCATGCGGGCCGCAATCGCCGCACGCAATTTCGGATTTTGTGCGTGCGGCGCGCGAACGCGACTCGCGTTACGACGCATGCGCAGTGGCTGCGACCGCACCGCAAGGGCTCGCGGTGCGCTATTCTAAAACTCTCTAATGTGACAGGGCGTACTGATGTAATGCTATCTAGCTGTTTCGATTTGAAATGCAGCGATATTGCTCGAAATTTTTAACGTTGTACCTCTCGCACTATAGTTTGTAATGCGAAGCAGTGAAATCCGCAAAAAAAAAAAAAAAAACTCATTAGCATTATTACGCTAAACGAAAACTTTTCGGGACTGGTTGGGAAATGCCCCACTGCAGTGGCGTAGTCACAGGATGGCACACCGGGGCCGTGCCTCATTGCCCTCCCCCCTCCTCCCACCATTTTTTTTTCCGTCATGGTATGCAGAGCGCAAAATGGTGGTGGTGGTAGTGGTTAGAATGAAGAGGAAAAAGGCACCTAATTTCTGTCTGCCTTCAGGCGACACGGCGCAGTGCCTTATAGGGGTGGGGGGAAGGAGGGATAAAAAGAATAGAAGGAAAATGAAGAAGAAGACAGCCAACGAGAGAAAAAAAAGGAGATAGGAAAGTGGGGATCCGGTCGAAGCAGTCCAAGGGCGGGGTGCCACAATGCGAGAGCTGCACGGCGTCAGGAGACCGCGAAGGGCGAACCAGTCGGCGGGAGCTACGCTGATGTCGGAGATCGCGAGGGCACAACCGTCCAGCTTGAAATCCTGCGAGCGAATCCCCAAAATGACTAGCGAGTTGCCTGCCGGCCCTCCTCCAAATTGAAAAAAAAAATGACCCTCCCTCCCCCTTTCACCTCGAAAAATATTTGTTGATTGATTGATTTGTGGGGTTTAACGTCCCAAAACCACCACATGATTATGAGAGACGCCGTAGTGGAGGGCTCCGGAAATTTCGACCACCTGGGGTTCTTTAACGTGCACCCAAATCTGAGCACACGGGCCTACAACATTTCCGCCTCCATCGGATGCCAGGTGGGCCGATTAGGTTAAGAAAATTGCAGGAACAACATGGCAGCAGAAAGCACAGGACCGAGTTAGTTGGTTGACCATGGGAGAAGCCTTTGCCCCACAGCGGGCATGGACAGGCTGATGATGTTTATTCTAACACAATGTCGCTCCAGGGGGGTGAAATTTCGGGCACAACGCTTGTGAACATAATCCGTAGAGCCCTTATACAAGAACTCTAATATCAAAGTACACGCACAAGAAATCACAACGCGGTAGCCTGAAACTGACCTGAAACTAAAATGATACACTCTTAATTATTCGTAATGAGGTAGCCTGAAATTGACCTGGAACTAAAAAAAAAGAAACATACAAAAGGACAGACTAAGGTGCCGACATTGCTTTGGCTTAGCGCTTTTTATAGCCCACATCAATCTACGCGAACTTCCCGTATGCACACACAAATCGGGAACTTGCCATCTTTCCGTTCCAGATGTCGTCGAGCTCGCCTCGGCACCGTGCAATTATCAGCGCAGGTATCACTGTGAACGGCACGAGGTACAAAAGTGCCGGTTGGGACATGCGCATCAGGTAAAGGGCGGCGAACGTCGCTAAAAGGCCCAAGCCATAGACTGCACAACGAGGAAAAAAAGCAAGCCAGCAGTGACACTAAAGCTTGAACGCACACGCATATATATATATATATATATATATATATATATATATATATATATATATATATATATATATATATATAAAGTTCGAGAATAGTGCAACATAGGAGAAACAAAACAATTTTTATTGCGGTAGCTAGAAGCAGCTCTGTTCATTTATATATATTATAACGGTTGCAATAACTACAAGTATGTAATTACCGTAAAATTCTTCTTAGAAATCTATGGTTGCGTGATACCGCGTAACTTAAACAAAAAAAAAACATCATTCAGATAATGAGGCTCGAATTTGCGCAGCCTGCACTCAATTTTGCGGACACTAAGGTAATTAGACATGGGACATCTGAAAAAGGTCTACAAGCTTAAACCAAGCGCAAAATTAGCAGCTGTTATACACACAGTTTACGTGCATCGCCTTAACGCAGAGTAGAAAACAAGTAGCACACACTTTTCGATTTCCTAAAGCTTTTTTTTTCAAATAACGTAATAGTTGACCTACGGGACTCTTACATTAAGTGACTGTATGCTTCCGAAAAGAACCCCTGAGCATATATAAACGACAATTTGCTGAGCTGCTGAATCGCTGAATAGCGAAAAAAAAAATAGGATCACCATCCAAGCAGCTCAATGGTTGCATTTTATTTATTTTCATTTGCTAATTAGACGTCCCTTTTTCTTTCTCCTCTATTTAGCTGTAGATACACAAACAATGATTGATATGTAGGATTTAACGTCCCCAAACCACCATATGATTATAAGAGACGCCGTATGAAGGGCTCCGGAAATTTCGACCACCTGGGGTTCTTTAGCGTGCACCCAAATCTGAGCACACGGGCATACAGCATTTCCGCCTCCATCGAAAATACAGCCGCCGCAGCGGGGATTCGATCCCGTGACCTGGGGGTCAGCAGTCGAGTACCTTAGCCACTATAACACCGCGGCGGGGCAGATACAGAAACAAACCAAATACCCATTAAGAAACAAAGGTTTAGAATATGCTTACATATTAGAACCACAGGGAAGTACAGGCAGCCACCAACTTTGATGAGGTCAAAGCCACGCAGAAACGCAATAAGCAAGCCTGCACAAATGGGGTGCATACCTTACACACTTCAGAGTGCTTTCATTGGATGAATTTCGCACATCTTAGCTCATTGCGTCAAAGAGGAGTGAATACGATGATAATGCTTTCACTTCCAATCCCAAAGCTCATGGCTCCGACTTTAAGGCTAATTCATACCGCATACTAAAATTTCGTGATACTGGGGGCCCGTTATGCATACCTTACGGATATTTACATCTATGTAACTAAACAGAGAATGTTAAGTACCGGGAGACTGAAATTCCATGTCTTGTCCTATTTTAGTATTACTGCATTAAAGTATACATTAGTATTTTTCTTTATGTAATTATTCACATGCATGGATTTTTGTTCCGCAACATACGCATGTGCAGCACGGGTGGTAGTTCCGCGATGAAACACGCACCAACTATCTCAATCAATCTTCAATATTTTATCTTACTTATTCCAGTGTCAATGCACTACTTTTGTCCGAACGACACGTACTGAACGAACTCCTCGTTCTAGTTGTTGTTTCATGTACGCTTCGCCAATCCATCATAGAATTCTTTGCCAGCTAATCTTGTGCTGCTCGAACCCTGGATCTGCCAGTTGCTTTTCCACGTTGTCCATCATCATCATCATCATCATCATCATCATCATCATCATCATCATCATCATCATTATTATTATCATCATCATCATCATCCTTACTGCGTCGACTACTAGGCAAAAACCTCTTAGACCGTGGTCATGTGCTTCAAGCTAGTTTTGAGCTTACCGCGCCCACGTTATACCCGCAACTCATCTGCCCACCTAACTTTCTGCATCTTCCTGGAGAGTTTTTTTTTTTCTAAATAGAGTCCAGTATGACCAGTGGTTGTCTTACTGCAAAACAGGCGAGCGCTATGAAAAAGGTACATAGATAGGAGACACACAGGACTGCCTGTCTTGTCTTTCCATCACTCTACGTACGCATGCCCATTTTTTTTCTGGACTTCGACTAATATGTCATTAACATCTATTTGTTCCTTGACCCTACTCTACTTTCTTTTTGTCTCATAAGAAAGCAGAGTTAATCACCATTAATGCGGTTACGACGTGAAGTCGTTGACCGAGAGTTATTGATTGATTGATATGTGGGGTTTAACGTCCCAAAACCACTATATGATTATGAGAGACGCCGTAGTGGAGGGCTCCGGAAATTTAGACCACCTGGGGTTCTTTAACGTGCACCCAAATCTGAGTACACGGGCCTACAACATTTCCGCCTCCATCGGAAATGCAGCCGCCGCAGCCGGGATTCGAACCCGCGCCCTGCGGGTCAGCAGCCGAGTACCTTAGCCACTAGACCACCGCGGCGGGGCTAAAAACTGGCACTGTCCACACAACTTCCGCTAATGTACAAAGGGGTAGCCCTTTAGAACAAGTTTTCTTAAAGACCATGGTCTGACACTGTTCCCCCTTAGGTTTGTTGGACCAACATAACGGTGAAGGGATATTAGCGCATCCGTGGTGGCACCGCGAACGTAGTTTGCACACGAGTCAGCATCTCTAGTATCCACGACAGCGAGTTTCATTTTTTTACATGCTGGCGTCACTAAGCAAGAGACCTTGTTACGAGCAGACAGCTGAGCAATCGTCTCTTGCATACGAACAGGCATCCAATCTCCCAGAACAAGATACTACTAATTAACGAAAAAAGCAATAATTAGAACTAAGACGAATGCATACGAACAGCAACTTTAAGAGCAACAAGCATCTGAAGAGCCATGAAGTTAAGGAATGGACAAGTCAGACCGGGATTCTGATAAGATAATGTGGTATTTATGTGCACCACAATGTAGCAAGTAACTCCTTCCAACATAATTAAAATCCTGGTGAGCGTAAACGTTGCGTAGGAGTGTTCCAATTTCAACAAAGCCTCGCTTACAGTTTTTTCTTTTTTTTTGTCTCTGTAGTGCACCTGTTTTAGTATATTGATTGTAAATGTTAAGTTATTTGTTAAATGCGTGCTCTGGAACGGACCATAAAAAAGACGGCAAAAAAACATGTATATTAACAAATTTTGAAAACTACACCCTTGCATCACAAACTGCGACGCGTGCCCGCACGTGCCGACGCTATGAGGCAAATGCATGCGCCTACCATGGCCGGCAGTGGTGACCGCAGGGTCCTAGTGCTAGCGAGTAAGCTGCCAAGTCGCTCTTCAGAACAAAAAACCGCCGTTCAGAGAACGATGGCTGCGATTGACAAAGCCTGAAACAAGGTGGCCCTTAGCGCGTCATGTGCTACTCATGAAAATACGAGACATGCTTACTCGGTCCAATGCTGGGAGCACGTCCGCCATAAAGACTACCATTCGTGATGGTGCACAGACACACCGGAGTGGCACGGGGCACGTCAGTAAGTCAGTGCTCCTGGAACAAAAGCAAAACTTCTCGGGAGATGAAAGCACGCGTAAAAATATAAACGCAGTCTCAAAAATGCCACTTGAGCGCGGAGCCACGGCTGGTTCATGTGCACTCGTATTAGGAGCCAAGATGAAGCTGTAAAACAAAACAGGGCAAGGGTTAACACGGCAAAGTGACTACTAAGCCATTAAGAAGAGCCCAGCTACCATGAGCAGTACCAACTAACACGAGTGAACGTTGAAGAAAGTTAACCCACCTGCACACACCCCGTAGCACGTCCTCGTCACAACACGTTGTGAAGGATTGATGTTCGGACGTTGTCATTTCCTTGAAGGCGGGGACAAGCCGAGGTTAAGCACCGGGACACCACATTACGGCCCGTGAAGGCCACATCATGCGCCAGCAAAACAATATTGGCACAAAATGATGGCCGCAGGAGAGCCACTTGTGCATTCCAGAAACCAGCCTAACAAAGCCATGTACCTGTTTAACCGCCAGCTAAGCCCTTCATTTACCTCCGGAAGTTAGACCCATGATGACATTTTTCAATAAACACGCTCGCTAAAGTTCCACGCAACTTTAAACTTAGGTTGAACTGTCAATCTATAGCGAATGATTTTCGGTGAACATGCCCCAACACCTAGCCGGCCTGCCATGCCAAAGACAAAACTCGCAGTGGTCTTTGAATTCCAGGCGACGTGGTTCCTGGTGAACAGAGTCAGGCAATGCCCCCGGTAAAGTCTACACAAAAAATGAATGTTGAAATGCGACTCGTACGTACCATGTATCGCAAGCTCCGTGCTTGAACGTCAGCCGAAAAACTTCTGTCTCCAAAATGCACAGCGCCACCGACAGTAAGTGAAAAGTGGAAGTGGGCCACCCACGTGTACATTTTTTTAATGGCAGTTCCAAGACAGTTCTCACACATTTGCGCATACATTTCTGTGGCCACACCGGCGCTATGTCACGGGATCGTTCGTTCGCGGGTTGTCGGATAGATCTGTGCGTGGCGTACTGCGGAGTAACGAAATCAAAGAAAAGATGCACAAAAACAAAACCGACAGATCATCCGACGTGCGGCGCATGATTGCTGGACTCGGAACGTTCCAGACGTGCCTGAACCGCCGATCTGAATTTGTCCGGATCGCTTCCATACAGTCGCTTTCGCGCGTATGCATTGCGTTCTGGAACTGCAACCCAATTTTCGGCAAAACTTGCATTAATGTGATGAACCTGAGCAAATAATGAAGCTAGTTATATTTGTAGTCGTTGTTTTAATTCTTGTGGCCATACCAAACCACGTACTGTTTCTTTGACTCGCACCTTAAGACCGCCCCCTCGCCTCTCAAGGTGAGCCCTGCGCACACCAATGGCCTCAGTCATTCTCAGTGCTGAATCCCCCCCCCCCCGCCCCCCCGTGAGATGTACAAGCCGCCGTAGTGTCACAGGGGCTACGGTGTTCGGTTGCTCACCAGAAATGCAAGGGTTCGATCGCGAAAGTCAAGGTCACATTTTGAAGAAGAAGGCCGCGCTTTACCATGGCACACTTCACATAGTCCGAGGCACTTTGAGACGCTAAATGCCATTTACCAATAAACAAACCACCGATGTATAGAGAGCTCCGAATACCAAACCTTCCAAGCATCTGCGAAGTTGTATAATTTTAGGTGGCCATTACAGAAAAATTCGGTGCTCTTAAACATGCCGAAGCTTTCCTTAACATGTTAAGGTAATGGTACTGTTATGTTGCTGAGACGCTCCTGTTGTGAGCGTGATAGCAGGAATACTTGGCAAAGTGGACGAAATGAGAAACGTGACACACACAGGTGCCAAGTGAAAAGACGCCGAAATTCGCAAACAGCACCAGTGGTGAACCCGGTGGCTGCTGTCTGCTCCCGGGGAACAAGAAGAAAGGGTTTCGATGTAGTCGAAATGGAGCTTAGTAAGGTAGGCTATATCATTTTACTGCATGTGTTGAACCCTTTATTGCGAGCGTGATCACAGCACACGAAATGAGTGGACGACGATCCGGGCCCTCAAAATTTGTTCTCCTCACTCGAAACAGCCGGAGAAACGAGGCCCTGGTATCGACGCGTATGATCTATATGACGAATGGCACATTTAAGAAAACTCCGCCTTCTCAGAAATAAAATTCTTAACTTGCGTTCTTATGATCACGTGATGGTCCTTTCTTGTTATTGGGCTGTTCTCCATGCGCTGGAAAACACGTGGACACCATATTAATTCAGTTAGAAAACAGTGTTCTGCAAGGGACTGCCAAAATAAATAAATAAATAAATAAATAAATAAATAAATAAATAAATAAATAAATAAATAAATAAATAAATAAAGACGCAGAAAATGACGAACGAAACAAAAACACAAAAGAAAGAAAAGTGTTAGACTAGGTACTCCCATACGAAGCTTCCCTAGGTTCAACTATTTGTGGGCGAATTATTGCCCAAGAAGTCGTGGCCTCCGTGATTAGTTCTGGCAGCGTGCCTTTTACAAATGTATTTCTCTTGATTTTCCATACAATCCTAGCAAAATGACTTCAGGATACACGTTTTATCGTAATGCTAAGCCTAGCTGCCCCCTATGAAAATCATGCACTTTTCCAGATTTCAAAAAAAATTTATTGAATTTTCAGTAAATCAATTGGGAGTACACTTCCGACGTACATTTTGCATTGCTCGATGTTCTTAAGTTACATTTAACAAATTCACTTGTGGGTTTGAAAAGCGTAGGCTGGGCGGGCTAGCTGGTAAGACATATTACCTAAATTTAGGTTACGCTCGGGATGGCACACCAGACTAGCATTTCTGACCAAACATGGGAGCCTATAGATTTTGAACATCTTGCATTTTTGGAGGTTCAAGCACTTCATTTTCATTTAATAAAATTGAGTATGGATACATTTTAATTTGCCTTTGGAAATCTTTTATTCACCGAGGTACTAAAGTTTCATCATACTTTAACGAGATCTTCAGGGCCCATTTTTGACAAAAATGGCAAGCTTTTGGAAATCTTGCATTTCTCGGGAATTCGTAGTTTCGTCCGATTTCAATACCAGTACTATGTAAATTTTTTGAAGTTTTTAGCTTTCATTCAATTGTAATAAAATAATTGGATACACATCCTTAAAGAAAAAGGTAAGCATATAGACTTTCAAAATTTTTCATGTTCTCGGGATCTACAATAAGTTTCCTCCAATTTTGATATCGATTGTGGACACCTTCTCGAAGTTGAGGGTTAGCCCTCGGAAATCTGATCTTGAATGCAGCGGCCGAAATGGCTCGTCTAGGCGTTGGCCTTGGTCACGTTTGTATCAGCATGCATTCCCTTGCCCACTAGGAAACTCCATTTTCTGTTTGTTCATTGCTGCTTGTCTGTCGTATAAGGGTTGACCTTTGTTACCAGCTTTTTCCCGCCTAGTCAAGGCGCGTCAACCAAGACAGCTCTGTAATGACCCCAAATATATACAGGGAATCCCATATATTACGCAGTATGGTGTTAAACAAAGGAACGTAGTTAAGCAAAGTATTCGTATACAGTGTATATGTTCTCCAGTATTCTGTAGTAGCCGCTACTACTTTATTTACTCTAACGAGGTTTAGGTAATTAGGTCAAGTAATACTTTCGACTTGACACGTACACTCACATAATCAACTATTTGTCATTGAGAGATACTATGCAGGAAGCAACGTGCTATAATTATGAGATGATAAGTATAATGAGGCAGTCATTACTGATTTCTGCATGTGCTCTTTCTGTAGTAAGAAGAGTTTGTGCAGCATCGCCCGCAAACATATAATGCGGGTCCGTATGATCCCGATGGTTAGATCGCTGCCTGCACAGGTTGGGCTTCCAGGTTTTTCCAGGCGTCGGTGGGTTTGGATGGCTCCACTGCGCTCGAGATGTCACTCTCCGATAGGCTGGAATCTTCAGGCTGGAACGAAGCGGCAAAAATAATGAAAAAACAAACACAAAAGACACCTACGATTGCCATACTGCCTGACGGGAATTCTAAGCTCGACCTTTTGTTAGGAAAGTGCACACTGTCTTTGAACTTCTTACTTACCGCAAGATATTGCCACATGATATGCTTGGGTGAGATCCAGGAGTGAAAGAAGACAAAGACGATCTGTCTGAGCTGCTGCTTCGCTAGTCGACCCAACGAACCCATTAAACCAAGTTTGCCTTAAGAAACGTGACAAGACTAGCCAAGCAGCAGCTCAGACAGATCGTCTTTGTCTTCTTCCACTCCTGTATCTCACCCAAGCATATCATGTGGCAATATTGACTACACGCTTTAAATCATACTTTTTGTTACGCTGGACTATTGAGTAGCTAGACAGCACCTACAAAGCCATTACTCTTCCGTCTGGGGATAAGGAAGGGACTCGCCACACACCTGTAAAGTATTATGTGCACTTTTTAATGTTGCATATGTGGCTGATGACGATGAAGAATTATGGCTGAACGATTGATTTGTGGGGTTTAACGTCCCAAAACCACCATATGATTATGAGAGACGCCGTAGTGGAGGGCTCCGGAAATTTTGACCACCTGGGGTTCTTTAACGTGCACCCAAATCTGAGCACACGGGCCTACAACATTTCCGCCTCCATCGGAAATGCAGCCGCCGCAGCCGGGATTTGAACCCGCGACCTGCGGGTCAGCAGCCGAGTACCTTAGCCACTAGACCACCGCGGCGGGGCAATTATGGCTGAACGATTTACAGTGGGTGGGAAGCAGTGAACCCATATACGCGTGCGCACGTAGGGGGTGGTAGCGTGTGAAGCCTGCCAAATACATTGATTTATTAGAGAGGAGGGAGGGGTGTTACGATGGGGCTTCCCCCCACCTCCTGGACGGGGACCCTGAACAGCCTATTTTAAACCACACATTGATCGAGCAATTAGCATTGTGCAATGACTGGTTGTTCATTTACTCTTCTGCCACGCTACATTACATAGGCCAACTCAACTCCTTGCACATGATGCCTGATAGCGTTTTTCGGGAATGAGTTTCCAACACCAGCGCGACTCTGTGCCAGAATACTCGGCTATTACGCATAGAGAGTGGGCTCCAATCCAATTCGATCCTGGGTATATTTTCTCATTTTATTTTTATTTTCACAACCGTCTGTTACACCGTTAAAAGCAACAGTGACGGCTACGACCCTCTTACGTGTATGCAGGAACGGGTGCGCTGTGCACACAATAGGGAGCTTTAGAATACCGTTTTCAAGCGCTGCGGTCGTTGCGGGCGTAGCGGGCGCCATATGAGTTTCAGAATAGCGTTTGCCCTGCTGCAAACCACAACGCACTGTTGCAATGACACCGTATCCTCGAAACCAGCGCTTGCGGGCCCCATGCGGGCCGCGATCGCCGCACGCAATTTCGGATTTTCTGCGTGCGGCCCGCGAACGCGATTCGCGTTACGACGCATGCGCAGTGGCTGCGACCGCACCGCAAGGGCTCGCGGTGCGCTATTCTAAAACTCCCTAATGTAACAGAGCGTATACTGATGCAATGCTATTTAGTTCTAGCTGTTTCAATTTGAAATGCAGCGAGATTGCTCGAAATATTTAACGTTGTACCCCTCGCACTAGTTTGTAATGCGAAGCAGTGAAATCCGCAAAAAAAAAACTCATTAGCATTATTACTCTAAACGAAAACTTTTCGGGACTGGTTGGGAAATGCCCCACCGCAGTGGCGTAGTCACAGGACGGCACACCGGGGCCGTGCCTCATTGCCCTCCCACCTCCTCCCACCATTTTTTTTTTTCGTCATGGCATGCAGAGCGCAAGATGACTAGCGAGTTGCCTACCGGCCCTCCTTCAAATTGAAAAAAAAATGACTCTCCCTCCCCCTCCCACCTCGAAAAATATTCGTCTTAGGAAAGCTGCTGCCGGCAGTCCTCATCGAGTCGTCATTTCGGAACGTGGTTATTCACCAGCTGACACTTCTGTGTAGCCATGGTATTACTCGCTTTCTGCGTCGGGCTAACATGACCCCTCGGTTTGTGGCACAGCTCGAGGAGCTTAAGCACAAACGCTACACCCTCGCTATTATTTTAAATATTTCTACTTCAGGCAAAACTTTTTTTTCATGTAGTGTATTTAAGAGCATGGAAGGAAGAAGGAAGAGAGCGGAGCGGCTCAGGCAACAAACAGGCATTCAACATCGTAGTTGGAATGAAGAAGAAAAAAAATGGACATAAACAGGACACGTAGGTCGTATATGCAGGATAACCACTGGTCTTTGAGGATAACTAACTGGATTCCATGAGGAGATAAACACATGAAGGGGAGACAGAATGCCAGGTGGGCCGATTAGGTTAAGAAAATTGGAGGAACAACATGGCAGCAGAAATCA